GCAGCCGTGATGCTCGAAGAACAGAACCCGGGCTCTGCGACTGGATGAAGCACCCAAACACACCCGGCACCTGAAGGTGAGGGCTGATACGTAGGGGCATCTCCCCCATGCTGGCTGGGGGGGGGTGGTGCTTCGTGGCCTACGCACGTGTCCTTTACGGGTTGACAGGACTGTGTTCTGACATTTCAGAGACGACTTCAGGTAGGTCCAGTAGGTTGCAGGGATACAAAAAATATGTCTAGACATAACCGAACTAAAAGTTGAACAACAGCAAGGAGAAATATAGGGAAGGAAAACAAAACGGGAGCAGGATTCAGGACAGAAATGCTCCACCTAGAAACCACTGCTCATTTACCCCAGAGAACTGTGTCTCATTTGGCAGTTATGACACCTGGGAGGCACATAGAGACAGTCACCCCACTTTACAGATGAGTTAATTGAGGCTCACAGGCTGAGTAATTTCCCAGAGCCAAACACCTCACCAAGTGCATGGCCTGGGGTTTTCATCAAGGTCTGACTGACCCCGTGCTTTCTGACGTACGCTCGCCGCCTCAGGAAGAGCTGAGAGTGAAGTGACACTGATTATCTCGGCGACTAGGGTGGGACCGAGGACACGGAATGTGGAGCTGATGACCAATCGCATAGAGTGAGTCCTACAGCCAGAACCTAGCACAGTGACCTCACAGATATGCTTCATGCATATTTATTAATGAAGACACCCAGAATGCTGCAACAGTTTAAAATCAGTCTGGGGAAGAGACCAGAAATGTAACAACCACGAAGCTACGTCTGCCCTTCAGGTAGCTGTTCCACGAGTCTCCTAATACTGAGGTATTTTACGTTTTACAGAAGACTTCTGATGTATCCAAACAAAATCATTGCTAACGGGACTTTTCCTTCTTTAGTTCTGAAGACAGTTAATGAAGACTTCATTGTTAATGAAGACCTTTCCCTCCTTAGGACTGAGAAACTGGCTGAGATGACCAGGGACAGGAGTTAAATCTTTTCTAGCCTAAACATTTGCTTCATGTTAATGAAAAAGTTTGGTTATTTAGTGATTAGTTTATCTATAGAGAGAAGGATGATAAATCATGATATCAAAATGCGTTTCCAAAGCTTTTAAAAATACTCTGATGTAAGGGGGTTTATAAACACCACGCACTATTATTACAGTGCAATTCGGGCACTGTTGCCCATAAATTAAATGAAGACACTGGGCGGAACTCATCAAGACAGATTTTAAAGACCTTCTTCGTCAAGAACAGTTTAACAACAGTGGCAAATGAAACCCAGATTACAATTTCCCTTCCCTTTCACATAATATTGTTGGACTTAATTCGCTTAAGAAATAGTTACAGAACACCTACTGTGTTCACAGCCCCATAGGGACACAAAGATGAAAAGAAAGCAAGTCCGGAACTGGAGGTAGATACAGTCCACGCCAATCCTTGGTACAATTTCCTGATGGCCACAGAGCAAATTTATTTTCCAAAGATGACCACTATAGGACCTCTCATCCCACACGTCCTTCTAGAACTTTCCACTCACTCATCAGGAGGTAGTATATGATTCTCCTTCCTCTGAATCTACATGGGTATGGGTGGAAATGGAGAGGTGGAGGGAGGGAGGGGCATTTGATGAGAAGGGCATGGCCAAGCAAAGGCTGGGAATGAAAAGGCCACAATATGTGACGTGTGAAAAGTTACTGTGGGAGATGGGCTGGAAAGTGAGGAGGGTCTCTGTCTGGGCTGTCCAATACAATAGCCTCCAGTCACCTGTGCCTACTTAAATTTAAATGAATTAAAATTCAATAATTAATAATTCTGCCATACTAGCTCTGTTCCAGGTGCTCAGTGGCCACGTGGGGCTGGTAGGGCCACCACCCTGGACAAGTCAGACCCACATCATTTCCGTCAGTGCTGGTCTCTGGGGTGTTTCTTCTTGTCCCCTGGGCAGCACTGAGACACCACGTGCTTCTGAGACAGTGTGACCTGCTGCTGTGCGAGCAGAGCTGACCAGAGAGCCAGTTCATTAGGTGGGCAGGGGACACATTTGTCACTGGCCCTCAGTGAAGAGCAGTGTTAGGGAACAAAGTCTATAGATTTCAAGACTGAGCAGCCTGAGTAACACAGACTGGCCATTGTCACCAGGTGGCTGGTGATTTACTTATCGGCTCCACAGAGTATTAAAAATGGTTCTATTACAGTGCAGGGCTTGCTGAAGACTTGCAAAACCTAAAGCCAGCTTTAGAAGGTTTGAAAGGAAAACCATAGGGCTGGAAAGTGAGGGAGCAGGTGGAGAAAGGGAGAGGAGACGCCCACATCACACCCTGCAGGTTGGGGCTGGCAACATTGGATGCCCACTGGCCAAAAGTGCTCACTTACATGAAAGTATCTCTTAGCCTACAGCTTAAAGTGATGGGACAACTGGTAAATCATTCAACAGAATCAGTGACACTAACAACTGCTCCTCTGAGTCAGACTGAAAAGAAAGCAGTAGAACAGCTAGAGAGACACTCTCAGTAGGAACACTGAAAGTCGCCAGTGTTTGAAATAAAAACCAACAGTTTCAGATGCACGGAATGAGCTTTCCAGAGCATTTGCAGGGATTCAGATGAGATTTCCTGCCATTTCCTTTCCTGGTACCCACCGCTCTCCCTGGCCTGAATTCCATCACTGATCTTTTAAGCAGATGACCACGGGACTCTGTATCCTGAGGCTTAACGCGAGGTGACAAGAGACTTTCAGCCGACTGGGATCTGCATCAGGAACATTTCCCGCAGTGGGACTGAGCATTTTCGCCAACTTGGCTCCTTCAGAGAGACCCAGTCAAGACAGGACGTCCTTATACATTCCCACAGACCTGGATGTCTCCTCCCCATCCAAGGACAGCCGACCAAAGGCAGGCCCCTTCCCGCCCCCAGCACACACACACACACATAACAGAGTGCTAAACTAGGAAAAAAAATGGATCACAGCAGAATCACTTCACTGTGAAGCTGAATAAGGAAGCAGAAATCCAGCCCATCCTTTTAAGTAACTCACATAAACTGACAATTCAGACCTGAATGTACCACACTGAACGGCGGGCTGAATCTTGGAAGTGAAGAGACCACGTGAGGAAATACGTAACTTGCTTTTGCACAGGTGTTAGGATGCTTCCGCTCAGTAAAACCTTCTCCGAAAGACTTCTCCACCCTCTTTCTATTGGGGAAGCTTACAACACCTTCCAGCACAACGGGGATGCAGGAATGCGTTCTGCTTATATCAAATCCTCCCCGGCCAGAAAAACCGGTTCCTAACTTATCTGAGACTAGGAGACAGAAAGGAAGCTTCTGTGTTGAAGCTCAAGTTTAAAATATCTTGCACTTTCCTCTCTTGCAGAGTTAAAAGTGCAAGAGGCTGCCACGCCTCTGGCTGACAGGCGTTCACACTTTGCAGAAGTGAGATTTCCAGAGCTCGAAAAAGGCTGCCTCCAACTGTTTTCTCCTTAAAAAGCATAAAGACAAGCCAGTGCCACTGGTTTCTTTTACTTCTAGCTCTGTAAATATGCATGGTGTCACTTTAGACAAACGCAAAGGAGGACTCCTGTGTGGGGGTAAAATTTGAGATGACTTGGCTTGTACTGCAAAAAGCCCACCTCTCTGAGGAGATGAACAATCTGCCAGACGCACCAGGGAGCCTGCCCCGCCTCCTGGGGGTCTCCCAGCACTGGCTGACCTTGAGGTGCCGCGGTTTGGTTCAGTCTCCCCAGGACCCCCAAATGTGAGCTCCCAGGCATGTGACGCACTTTGTCATGGTAACGCCTGCGAGCAAGGGTCACCTGGGGACGGGGATTCCAGGCAAGACGGTCAGAACAGAATGACAAGAGCACAGCCCACGAGGTGCTGTTTCCGTCAGTGAATTCCTATTCTCCCCACAAGTCTGTGAAGTAGGTCTATTCCCTTGCTCCCATTTTACAGAAGAGGAGAGAGGCTCGAGGTCCCCAGCACCCGGTGGTACAGGTGAGATGTGAGCCCAGGCAGGCTGGCAGCCCACACAGTGTTTTAATCATGACGCCCTCCCGCCTGGCCCAGAAGGATGTGCATTTTACATGCACACGAAATCATCAAACCACAGACCTCCCTACTCCACGCTGGCCGCTGTGAGACAGGCAGGGCATGTTGTAAAGCGGCAGAGTTGTGCGAAAGGCAGACCTGCTCCAGAAGATGGATTAGGGTTTGGACAAAACAGCCCAGGTCTGGCTAGGAAATTAGGGCAAAGGAGATGGGAAATGGAAACCGGCCCCAGAGAGCGACGCCCCCAGCGGGAGACAGGCTGGCTCCCCACAAATCATTAACGGTTCTTGAACGTTTCTCAGTGAACCATTACTCCTCTCTTCCCACCACCCCTCACAGAAGAACTGCCCTCACTCCGTCACTGCTTGCTTGAGGAAATTCATGACTGACCTGTCCAAACCGGCAAGACAAAGTGCACAAATCATCTTCTACAAATTTACTGGTGCCCAGGAAAAGCGGTGTGCACACTTGTGTTGAGCTGTGGATGCGGGTCCACTTGGACACCACACGCATGTTTCCAATGCAGAAGGGAGACCGCAGAGAGGGGGTTTTCGCTACCCCCCCCCGGGGGGGGCAATCTCGGCCGGCTGAGCCAATCCTCCGGCCATGGCTCCTTCGCTAACCTTTCTTAGGGCAACTGCTAAGATTGGGCAGTGATGACTCATTTTTTCCGTCACGACTGGTGAAACTGGACTGGTACCCAATTGCAGATCTGCCATCAGTCACGCCTGGTCCAGAGCCTGGAAGCCCCCCTCGCCGTGGGGAGTGGATGAGTTGGGGGCGGGGTGGGGGCGGGGATGGGGCCTGGGTGGAGGGCGTGGCTTGCTCGTTGGACGCACAGCAGGGAGAAGCACGGAGACTGGATTTCCCATAGAGGAAGGTCAAGGAGCATCCCGAACTCAAATCCTAGCAAAGCGAGTTAGCACCGATTTTAGGTTCTTACTTGTAGTTTTTCTCCCAGAATTTCACTGGCCTGACATACGAGGCGATGAAAATGACACTCCCGAGAAATGGGCTCAGTGGGGTGGAAAAGATGGATGTGGCAAACGTCTGGAAGAAGAGCATGGCCGAATCTGAGGATTTGGAGTTAAGGCAAAAATGAGTTCCTTGGCATATTTCTAAGCAGTATTTGCGATTCGGACTAGTTTGTATGAAAGCCATTTTCTCACCGAGGAAAGAGAGAAGGGCATGCACTTGACTTCTCTGCATGCATATCTGGAAATATGAAACTTTCAACAGTATCCTGCTAGGTCTCATTTCACCACCATGAAAACCAAATGACGCTCACAGAGATCCCAGCGGTCTCAGGCTGACTCATGGCAGAGATTTAACATCTAACATCTGAAAAGAACAGTTTCTTTTTACTAAGATACAATTAGCTGAACAGAACATACAGTGGCATATTTGCTAAAGTACTAGGCAGCTTTATAAATAATTAAAACTAAATTACACTTTCAAAGTAAGTAAATAGCAATGTTTGGGAAGATAGCATTGCTGTTTCTCAAGGAATCTTTACCCACTACTCAAAAATATATATTCTTATGTATATGTATATGTATAACCGAATCACTTTGCTGTATACCTGTAAATCAACTCTACTTCAGTAAAAAAATTAATTAAAATATATATTCTTTATCACACAGTGAACATCAATGGCTCAATTCAACTCATGTCTGGTTTATAAGCTAAAAACGCGTCGTGTGTGCAGTCACAGCACGGTGTGGACCAAGTCACCTCCCGACTGCTCTGTCTGGTTTTCTCACTTCTTGTCATGCCTTACTTTTATACATTCTGATCAGAAACGTAATTGCTCAATATTAAAATTAGTATGGCTCTAACTTTTGGCTTAAGCCCAATTCACTGATCTCTGGCAATGTGGGAGAGGTACCAGAAGGGCTGGTCCCTCCCCATTCTCACTCCATCATTGGAGAAATTCCCCCAGCTGTCAATCACCCTGCACAACTGTGCTTCGGGGGTGATGGTGGGGCCTGTGGCTAGGACAGTCAGAAGGAACTGAGGTGGCAGAGGTCAGTGGGGGCCAGACTGCCCAGGTCGTGTATGTGCACGTGGTTCCCTGTTCCAAAAGGTGAGGGCTTGGAGGGTTCAACTACAGGTTTGATCTGATCTCCTACAAGGCTGATTTCTCCCTTGGAAAGGGACATGTGTCTCTTTCTCACCACTGCTCAGATGGAGGTCTTGTTTCTTCAGCCCATGTTCCGAAAGTTTGGGCAGCAAGTCAGAAATGCCGTTACAGACAGGATGACTCTGTTCCATTACCCACCAGAACACAGGAACGTTTCCCGGTATCATCAGTGGCCAGTCTTGGTTGTGTGATGGGGCGAGGTGGGGGTGCAGACCTTCATAGCCTCGCCTTGGGTGTAAATACAGGGGAGGGAGTGAGCCTTGCCCATCCACAGGCACTACTCTGAGTATTTTCATAGATTTAAGCTCACGGTTTCACTTTAGGAGTAACTAATTGTTTGAAAACTTGCTGTTTATTTCCAAACACCCTCAGAAGTGAAAGGACACATCCTCCGTGAATAACCCATGCTCCATTCTGGGTCTGAACTGTTTGGGTACCAAAAAGAGCTCTATTGTGCTGCCAGATGAATCCAATTCCTTTTCTTTTGACCTGGCTCAAATGGAGAACTACTCAACACTGAGCTCCCGTGATGTCCGTTACCACCCAGCCGCTGCTTCTCCATCTGAAAACTGGAAATACCTAAATACCTCTGCTACAAAACGTACCAGCTTAACTGTGCCCCTTGTCACCGCGTGCCACTGGGTGAAGGTACTGAAAACACGGGGGAAAGCAGAGCGGGGTCACGGGGGAGATTCCTGAGGGGAGGTGCTGGGAGGAGCAGAAGGGCCCCCCCATCCCAGGCCCACACCAGCAGGGGGCGCGGCGCTGTGGGACTTGCAGGAGGACCTGGGCCAAGCCCGGCAGAGCCGGGACAGACCCACCTGCTGGGTGGGCTGGTACGGCCATTCTTTTTGACTCTAAACATTTCCCCAAGGATGATTGCCATTGTCCATTTCTTACATGCCAGAAACAATTATCCAGAAATTAAGAATTGAAGAAAAAAGTGCTAGCCTATACAGAAAGGTCAAATTTGGCAGGAAAGGGAGTTTAACAGGTCACAGGTAGGGCAGAAGTGACTAGATGGCTCCCAAGGTTATTCTATTTAGGGAAGATTAGTAAGGAAATACAGCGCTCAGGGGACACGTGAAAGATTGTGACTGTCACGGCTCCCCAGTGCCAAGACACGGGGACTCTGAGGAGAGCAGACTTATGTGGCCCTCTTTACTTCTTGAGAGCCCAAAGGTGAGCCTAAGAGGTAGATGGAGACTCCTTAAAAAGCTTCAGGTTTATCTGAGCACATTTAAAAGGGAAATATAAACGTCAATACTTAAAAAAATTAGAAGCTCAAAAGGGAACGCCAACCAGAAAGCAGCCAGCCTTCCCAATACACACATTTAACAGAGCTCATCTGGCGAAGCCGGTCGAATTATGAGGAGACAATGGTCTTGCATGGTCTCTACGTATATTAAAAGGGTGAGCATTCCCATCCTTCCCTGGAGGTTACAAGCTCAGAAACTCACACTACAGAGGGAGAAAACATGCTAGGACTGGAAAAAGCAATTTACTCAACAGTGCCCCGCTGGCCCGAAAGCTAATTCAATTCCAAAACAGCGCAAATTAGTGCCTGCTCAATGCCAGGACAGACTCACAGCTCCTTAATAGAGTGATAAAATAATTAACATTTCAAAATTAGTCAAGTTCCAGGGCTGGCATTTAGCAACCTGATAGCTTTGTCTTGATGGTATTTACATCTGGTTTCTTCAACTATCTCATTATATTCTGAACAGTACGATGTTGGGCTCCAAATAGCAAATATCTACCTTTACAGCTGATCCTGGATGAGAAGATGTCCTTGGATAATGGGGAGGGGTGGGGCAGAAGGCCCTGGACACCTTCACACAAGTGCAGGGGTCAGGCACCAAGGCCACCTGAAAGTGGTAACTTAGCGGAGGCTGGAAGTGGATGTCACTGGCAGGGTGGTTTTGGGGAAAAAGCATGGGGATCCGTTGTGTTCTAAAGCAGAACTACCAAATGCCCGATGAAATCTGCATTTCAGGTGTGCTCAGTTTCTCAAAAGAATGAGTCCACCCATCATGCACGTACTTGGATTTAACGCCCACCATATGCAATGGGAGAAGGATGCTACTGCCGCCTTTACTCTTGAAGGAGATACTCAAGAGTAGGATACGACGTGCTTGGGTGTGAACCCTCAGCACAGTGAAGGTCAAGTAATTGAAAGTTACGGTTCCCAGACAGTTTTGATTCAGCTGGAGAAATTAGTATTACTGAACTCATCCAACAATGGTGTCAGAAGAAGCCACCAGAAACGCTACAGATGCAGGTGAGACCAAAGTTAGGATAAAATTGGGACTCACAACTTCAAGTTTTAAATTTTTCATGTAACTCCTCAGAGGCAAATCATTTTCATTTAACTCACAGGCTTTAAATTCCAGACAGGACACCTGAGACACACACCAGGAATAAATACAAATCACCTCACTCTTTCATCTCACTGTCTTTGTTTTAAAGGACTCTGTTTGGGGAGGCGGGCAGCGGGTATAGCTCAAGTGGTATAGAGCACGTGCTTAGCATGCACAAGGTCCTGGGTTCAATCCCCAGTACCTCCATTAAAAAAGTAATTAAATAAATAAACCTAATTACCGCCCTCCTAAAAAACAAACCTAAAAGTTAAAAAATTAAAACAAAACCCCAAATTTTAAAGGATTCTGTTTAGAAAACTTACTGGCATTACAGAAAATGACCGCCCTTACAGGAAAGAGGTGCTACACAAACTCACGCCTTTGCAATCTTTTTTCCTGAGCTTGTTCTGCCAAATAAGTGTGAAAACACTTTCCAAATATCAATGCAGATCTAAGAATGGGAACATGAAACAGTGTGCGTTGTGAAGACAGCTCTTGGTCTGCTTAAAAAATTTTTTTAAACAAATGAGCATTTTTTAAAAAAAATCTAGAATATATTATCACTTAATGAATATCCCAAGTATGTTTCCATTCCTACACAAAAATTCAGATCCCCGAGGTTCCTTATGAAGTGTCTTGAGGAGCCTTAGGTAACTCATAGGAAGGAAAGCTCCAACTGGCCGTTAAAAGCAGCTCCTGGTACCCCGAGTGGGATGTCAGCCGGGAACCGTCCTCCACATGCAGCAGTGGATGAGAATCGCAGGGAGGCTTGTGAAGATGGAGATTCTGAGAGCCTATCTGAAATGTGGTTTTAAAAGTATGTGCCCGGCTCAGGAATCTACTTATGTACCAAGCTCCTCCACGGATTCTGATACAGGTAGTCCCTGAACCGTGTCTTAGGAAACACAAGGGTAGTGAATATAAATTCAGTGGGAAGGGAAACTGTTGAGGGCAAATTTTAGGCCTGAGTCAAGAATATTTTTGTTTAATCTCTCTCACCTCAAAAGACACACACAATTTAGTGATCTGTGTCAAAGTGACCTTCAGAAGGTGCATGTCAAACTGTTTTGAAGTGAATTAAAGCTAATTATCATGATGGAAACACTGAAAAATACACAAGGAAACCAAATGAAACTACAAATGATAAAACTTGGCTCCTTGGCTAAGAACAACTATAAAACAAAGCCATCAATCATTTTTTTAGTCTTCAGAAATATTTAAATAATTCTGTTTGTGCCCAATTGTGGGTTTTTGAATGTTATTCAAGTATATGATAACCCAATGAGATAATATAACATTATATAATCTATCATAATATATTAAACACACCAATCTATGCACAGAGTTTAATAACAGCAAGTTCAGTTGCACTATTTTGCACAAATCAACTGAATCATTTAAGCAGTGACTCTCCATTTAAAAGACATGCTATCTTAATGCAGATATGGTCCTGAGAAGTGGAAAAATCAGAAAAAAATATAGTAACTCCTGAATGTGCATGAAGAAACAGAAAGAGTTCAAAATTAAGAAATATCTTTTAAGGCTTAGGCACCTAAAGGGATTCCATAGTGTCTCCTCGTGTCCCCATTAAAATATAACCCTGAAGACTTTAAAACATTTTTACTAACAGGGTTCCATGAAAAGTTTGCACTCACATAAAACGCGAGTCTCAGCTCGGGGGTGAAAACAGAAGCAGAAAGGATACGGGGGATGGCAAAGAGCTGGGCGAACACGTGAAACGAAGAACCCCAAGCCATCTGCCAAGGAGCCACATACGTCATGATGAACTGTAACTTGTGGAGCAGGTCCCCGAGCTGAAAGCAAGAGAAGAAAGAGACTGGTCAGTGATGGCAAGCAGGGCATTAGCCATGTCAGAGTCAGAGCGCTTCTGTTACAGTCAGGAAGGGGCAGGGAAGCTACTGTTTGAACCTCTTACTCTTACCTTCCTTCGTCCTGTATGCAAGGTAACCATTGGTTAATTTTTAATTGAAGTCTAGTCAGTTTACAGTGTCGTGTCAATTCCCGGTGTACAGCATCGTGTTTCAGTCATCCATGTAACATACATAGATTCCTTTCCATATTCAAGGCAACTGTTTAAGGATATTTTCAAACAGTAACCAGATGATCAGAAGAAACCTCTGTGTGGTTAGTCTCACTGGGTTAATTATTTCAGCCCGTAGACGGGTATATCCCTCGGTTTCTCAGAGGAACACTCACAGCTTAGTCCTTCCTTCTTCACGCTGGGTTTTTTCGGGGAAACTCATACAAACACCCATCACGATTGACATCATTTTTGTGTATGGATTTCAGCTTACCTCTTCAGCGGCTCTTGCCAGAGAAGAACGCTCATTACCATTGGATTGCAAGTTACAAAGTGCTGTAGAAAGCCAAGACTGGATGTGGGAGCCATTGCACTCTCTAGACCAGCCAGCACAGGAAAAAACTGAGTTCTGGAGAGAAGAGACCTTGTGTGGGCTAAGGATGAACATGAGGAGAAACGTGCTCAGTGATTTGGGCCAAAGACTCAGAATATGAATGTACGGAGAAGGGTGGAGAAGGCTGGACTCCCTGCCTGTGGACCCCTGCTTTGGTGGGTGGTGAGAAGTGACTGATGGATCCTAGATGTGAAATTCTATGGCTGTCACTTTTACATGCAGCCAGGAAGTAACCTAAAAACATGTTTCCCAAAATCCACATACACTCTTCATCCATAATAAAAACTTCAAATAGTAGGATGTGTTTGTTCCTAGACTGGCTAGTATATGAGACAGTGAAACATATTCACTGAAGACATGATGTGAAAAGAGAAGAGAAAATAGAATTCATTAATTAGGCTCACTAGGTGTTACACAGAACATCAGAAGACCATAATGAAAAGGAGGAAAAGGCTGGAAAATGGAGCCTCTGAGGAAAGGTTCAAGGAACCAAGAAGTTGTGAAAGGCCAGTGAAAGGCCAACTTTGTGATTTCAGAACCAAAAAATATGGTTATTCTGAAATGTTTCATGAAAGTGTAATTAGGGAAAATGAGGTTAATTACAATCCTCTCCAAATCTTCCTCTCACTTTTCTTGTCTCACCATGGTCTCATAAATAACCCGATTTGGGAGAAAAATTTGAAAGTAGAATAACACATCATTGGACCGGCCACAGATGATAAACCAAGGCTAAATGTTCTCTCAAAAGCAGAGCAAATAAGGAGATGTTAAGAAGTGACATGTATCTGGTGTCCAGAACCCCTGGGGTCTAGATGTGCCCACCAGGGTCCCCAGTCCCAACCCGAGCAATGAAGAATCAGATGCAGAGAAAAAGGAAGGGATGGGTGATGGCAGGAGAGAGAAAGGGGGGAGAGGGAGAGGGATATAAAAGAAATGGAGACATTGGGGTGGGGAGAATTAAAGGGGGGTTAAAAAAAAGGAAAAATGGTGGGGGGAGTGTGTAGCTCAGTGGTAGGGTGCATGCTTAGCATGCATGAGGTCCTAGGTTCAACCCCCAGAACCTCCACTACAAAAAAACAAACAAACATAATTCTGCCCTTCCAAAAACAAACAAAAATGAAAAGATAAAAAAGTTTTAAAAAGAAAAAATGAAGCAGGAAGGCTATGTGATTATACTGGAAGAACTGTGAAAGGTGAATTCTGAGAAGGAGAAACAGATTTTTCCCCCCAGGAACTCTCCTTTCTTCCCTCCGGCGTCCTGGCACCCATCAGAGAGTGGATTTCAGTTGGCTTCCACGTTCTTTCTGAAAGGCCACCAAGTGCTAACCCTGCAGTGGGTGTGAACTTCTCGAATCCTGGTCTGGCTGGGACTGTGCAGGTACCAGTCCCTTGAGATTCCGACAGTTGGGAGAACAACAGTTGGTTCTGTTTTGCATCCCTTTGGTTCATGAGAAAAATCAGTCTTCTCTCCATCATCTCATTTTCCAGCAGTCAAGAGGTGACATGGACAGACAGTTCTAACACAGACTCAAACCCTTGACTCCCAAACTTCTGTTAAAAAATATGATTTCCTGTAAAGGCCAACTATCATTTCCTTTCATCCCCACCATTAGTTCAGCCAGAGGAGAAACATCCTAATTACAAAACAGAAGACGTCCGAACACAGGGCTCCAGACCGCATGCAAAGCAGGAGCCCTCACGTGGGGATGGGTCCTCTCGTATTAACTTGCTCATTTAGGTCCAAACCCAGTTCAACCAGGTAAAATACCACTGGATTTGTGACCTTCTAGTCACAGCACTATTAAGAATTCTTAGGCTGGGGGAAGGGTATATACCTCAAGTGGTAGAGCACATGCTTAGCACGCTGGGTTCAATCCCCAGTCCCTCACAGCACCTCCTCCAAAAAAACAAATAAATAAACCTAATAAAATAAAATAAATAAACCCAGTTAAGTAAAATAAATGAGCCTAATCCGCCCCCTCCCCTCTGCCAACCCAAAGAAACAAACAAACAAAAATTCTCAGTCTGGTTATTAAGAATTAGTCTTAGGAAAAGAAGAAGACGAACACAAATACAAAACAGGAACAGACTTGTAGACATAGAATACAAACTTGTGGTTGCCAAGGGGGCAGGGGGTGGGAAGGGACAGACTGGGAGTTCAAAATTTGCAGATACTGACAGGCATATGCAGAATAGATAAACAAGATTATACTGTACAGCACAGGGAAATATATACAAGATCCTGTGGTAGCTCACGGTGAAAAGAATGCGACAATGAATATATGTGTGTTCATGCATAACTGAAAAATTGTGCTCTACGCTGGAATTTGACACAACATTGTAAACTGACTATAACCCAATAAAATAAAATAAAAAGCCAGAACAGTGCAGTAAAATGTTTAGTCTCGAGCTAGTGAAAGAGAGCACGGGCTTGGATGTTGTGTGAACACAAAATGATGCCATTTGGGGGATGCTCGGAGAAGATCACCTGCTGGATGAAGAGAAAATGAAATGTTTCAACAGAAAAGTCAGGTTTGGGTTTACAGATGATTCATTTGGGGAGTTCTGAGTTTCAGAAATAAATTTCCTAGGCCCTACTTAAAAATTACGGTGATAAATATGTAATACTTGTCTTCTAATAAACTGATGCTTGTAAAAAAAAAAGAATTAGTCTTGGGAGGAAGTGTGTACAGCTCAGTGGCAAAGCATGTGCTTAGCATGCAGGAGGTCCTAGGCTCAGTTCCCCGTACTGCCATTAAAATAAATCATAATTAAATAAGTACCTAATTACCATCCCCCCCACCCCCAAAAAGAATAAAAAAATTTTTAAGTTAGTCCTGTGACTCATGCCTAGGTGAAAACTGCAAGCATGGGTGAGGTTACTTTGAGTGATGTATGACCCCTCCAAATGCCCTAAAAATGAATCATGGGTTTTGGAAAGTTACTCCTGTTGGATGTTCAGTGTCTGACTCTATCCTGGGAGGCTTCTTAAGCCACCTCCTGGAAAAGCTGATAAGTAGGTCAGGGCTAGCAACTGCAATCAGACAGGCAGCCCCAGGGAAAGCCTCATCTGCAAGTTGAAAGCTCTCACAAGTTAAACTTGGCTGCACCATGATTAAATGAATCTATTACAATATTTTTTGCTTAGCACAGCAACTTGTATTTACACATAAGCAAAGCCGGTAATCAGACACTCGCATTCTCACACTCTAATTGCAGCCAAGGCCCCAGGTATCCTCGCTCTTTTCCTGTGTCTCCCTGGGCCTCATTTTTTTTCCCCCATGAACTTTGTGAAGAAGAAAATATAAGCTTTGCAAAAGATTTCCGACATGCATCTCATAAGAGAGACTTTGCCATTCTTATTAGACGTCCTGAATGCCAGGTCTTTATGTATCAATGATTCCTCCACAACGTAGTCATTTAAGGCTCCTCCACAAAGCCCGCCAGAAGAAGGACGTGCCATGGATGGGTTAGGTGTCAACACTACACCATGTTTAAGAGTATAGGCCTCAGGACCCGCTGCCTGGGATTGAATCCCTGCTGGCACCTGTCGTGGGGATAACAGCATCTCCACACACTGTCATTTGAGGATTAAATGACTTCATCTTTGTTAAGCACTTATTGCCTGGAACCTGTTGAGTACAATATAGGAGTTTAATAAATAGATGTTAGGACAAGTGGACTCTCTCATTTTGGGGATGTATTTGTGCACAATCAGGAAATTCCAAGCCCCTCCTCTAAAACAACTGAAACTTACCAAGTCCAGGTCCTCTTATTTTTCATAGGAGGAAACCAGGCTCAGAGAGGATGAGTGGGCTGTTGAGAGCAGACAGTGAGTCACTGGCCCATGTGAACCCAGAGGCTGAGGTTCCTGGTTCTCCATTTGGTGACAGATATTTCTAACACCCAACCTGACCATGTCTCCTTGAGGCCATGAGCCTTCCTGGAAGGACCGCAGCTGAGGAAATATCCCCTCCACGTACGCCTTCCTGCTGACAGCAATGGGGCAGGGTCGCAGGTGTGAACTTGACAAATTGTGGCCGCAACCACCATCAGGGACCCCTTCTCCACATGCACGGTGATGAAGGGCTCTGATCCCTTCTGGAATGCCCTTTCCAGTATAAACGCCTGATGAACAAAAGAGGACACCACCCAGCAAGCCCGGTGACATTCCAGTGGTCTCAGCAAGGCAGGCTGCTGGGTTCCCCGTGCTTCTTGAATGCACAGCTCCAAGAAGATTGATGTGGCTTAGATATTTCATTCCTAAAAGCATGGAGAGGTGTGCTCCAGGGTGAAAGACTCAACTTTGTGTTTTCCCTTTACATTTTTTCCTTCTCGTCTAGGGTTATGTCTCAATGAAAAAATGCAAAATGTGTGGG